AGAGGCCTTTCAGCGAGACTAGCTCTTCACAATGTGTATCAACGCAGTCGAAGCGACATTTTGTTAAGTTCGATTGGAGAAACCAGTGTGTAACATTTCTATCTTCATGCAGTCATTAGATGGCCTTAATTTGTTTTAGCCATCGCACTTTCGACGAGCTCCAATAATCTCAGCATTTCTGTAACTCCTACTATGGTGGACATTGCCAAAGATTTAGAGCACACTGAGAAATTGTTCTGGTCTTACCTTAGTGCATTGGGCCAAAAGGGTTTTGTGCCATATATTCGAGAGGCCTCCATGTCCATTGCGATAATCAAAACCTTCCAAGCCTCATTGGGAAGATTCGATCCGAAGACTCCATTGCTCACTGCTGGTCTTCTAGGTAAGACAAGAATCATGAACATTCATATTCAAGTTGCTCATCCTCTGTAGATGCCTCAGCGTCACTTACTTTGCGCAGTGAAATGCTGGAAGCCATCTCAAACAAATTTCCCCCAATCACTCTTCATGATGATTTAAGATGGCCCAAGCTAATCGGTGCACCACTCCCTCACCTTGACAAGGCAAACGTTGCTTCAGACGACTCTGATTCCGATGGCATGGACGATGTTTTGCTTGAGAACTATTGGGAAACAGTCAGACAAAGGTATCAATTGTGTTCCATAAATGCCGAGACCTTCACTTCCTCCATGGTTTCCGGACTCCCCAAAAATTGGACTGTCGTTCACATTTCTGTGACTGAGGACAAGAACACGATGTTTGTTTCTCGTCAACGTGGGGGAAGCCAGGGTGGTCCTCTTGTCTTCTGTGTTCCATTAAAAGGCAGAAGAGAGGACGCGACTGACGAACACCTCACCTTCGAAGATGCGCTTACCGAAATGAATGAAATCGTCTCCCTCAGCAATGAAACTACAAAGATCGCCGCGTCTATTCGGCACGATCCGGCCGCTAGGTCCAAGTGGTGGAAGGAGCGAGGGGCACTTGACACTCGTCTTCGCGAGCTGCTAGAAAATATCGAGTTTTGCTGGCTTGGAGCATTCAAGGTATTTCTCAGCATGTATTTCAAATGATTAGGGGCCTCATGTATTCTTTATCTAGACCATTCTATCGGGAAATCCGCATCTATCACCCCAGGTGATCAGCAACCTTCGTTTACAGTTTGACCGGGTCTTTCAGCGTGGTCTTAGATTACAAGATAAGAAGACTAAGGAGCGAGCGCTAGGTCGCAAGCAGATGCCTTCAGAAAGTTTAACACCCAACCGAGTTACCCTCGACGATGCCTTGATTGAATGTTTTTCGACTCTATCCCCAGATTGTCGAGATGAGGAACTGGAGGACTTGGTATATTTTATCCTCGACCTGTATCAATTTCATGGCGTACCGGTCGCTATTGCAGAGATTGACATTGATCAGGTTGTCGTCGATTTGCGAATCGTGATACAAGAACATGCCGAAAAGTTGAAAAGTGTTGGACATGGCCGTTCTGGAGCATTTGGCTACAATGAACGGGTTCACAATGACGAGCATCTGTTCTTGGTCCTGGACAAGAATGTCCAAGGTTTACCTTGGGAAAACATCCCGATCTTACGAGAAAGAAGCGTCAGTCGCATTCCTAGCATCTCATTCCTATTGGATCGTGTCCATTTTTCACGCCTTCAACAATCGAAATATTCTGACAAAAATCAGTCATCAACCGCTGTTGATCGTGCAGTCTGTGATCCTCGAAATGCGTACTATATTATCAATCCCGGTGGGGACTTGGAACGAACAGAGGAGCGATTCAAGCCTTGGCTGAAGAATATGGAGAGGATCGGTTGGCAGGGCATCTCGGGGCGTGCTCCAAGCGAGCTTCAAGTTCTCCATGCGCTTCGAACGAAAGACCTCGTAGTGTGAGTGTTCCCTCTGGCTCAGAATACGAATAAGAGCTGATTCATCTCTCAAGATACTTTGGGCATGGAGGAGCTGAACAATACGTGCGCTCTCATAAACTGAGAAGTTTGCCGAAATGTGCTGCTGTCATGCTTTGGGGTTGTTCCTCTGGTGCACTGCGAGATATGGGCGACTTTGATCGAGTGGGCACGCCGTTGAATTATATGTTAGCGGGATGGTCTGTTTTTCTATTCATACTGCTCTTTCATTTCTTTCCACTGATTCTCACTGGTCAGTCCAACCTTGGTCGCTACTTTGTGGGATGTCACGGACAAAGACATCGATACTTTCTCCCAGTCAGTGTTCGACAAACTGGACATGTCTTTTGAGTCAATCAAGAATCGATCTTCACTGGAGCGCCATACTCCTGTGTCGGTAGTTCAAGCTGTTGCGGAATCTAGGAAATCGTGCAAGCTCAAGTATCTTACCGGGGCAGCCCCAGTTGTGTACGGGATACCTTTCTATCTATGATATCGATGTTATGAAATCTATGCTGAATTTATGATATATATAATCGACTGCTAGGTTTTTTAGAGGTTTAATGGATGTAATTTTATGACTACGATATACTTATGTGCACTTTGTTCATGTTTTTTCGAAGATTGGCAGTCCCGCGTGTTACCTCGCGCCACCCTTTGTAAATGACGCTCATCTCGTCAGTATCTGCTACTGCCTTTAGGCTCGCTTCATTTTTCTTTCTTCGAGTGGTGAGTACGCGTTGAATCTCAGCCATTGATTTCGCTTCCATTCCATATTCAGATACCCTCTCCAATATTACAATCTGCTATTCCGGCTTTGCTCTCCCTATATCTGCTCTCCACCAGCTTTACAACAAAACCAGCTCGAAGCGATTTCAATCCTCTAGCTGCAGTAATTTTCTCTCTTAGGACCCCTTCTCGAATCATCCGATGGACCAATATTGCCATAAACTCCATATTACTGCTTGCCTTCATTGACTTTTGCGCTTCACCCTATTTTGATGATGCGAGCGACGTTATATTCTCTAGAATTGGCGCAGTATCAGATAGCAGTGCCAAAATACTAATCAGGTATCCTAATTTTGACGAAGCGATTCAAGTTGTGTGGAGAGAGTCGAAGCCGAACGCAGCTTGGAACAAGGGTGCTACTCTTAACTTGTCTGAGGAAAACGATTGGGTGGACACTGTTACACTTTCAGGTCTCTGGCCCAGCACCAATTACGAATGTGTGACGCTTCATCTGTTCAGCTTTCCCGACTGTTGACCACATTTTTACCTCAGATGCACTCGCTGCAGCTAATTCATCTTTGCTTGCTTACTCGGGTTCACCTCTACAATTCCGTACCTTCCCTGATCCTCATCTCCCGGGTGGCACACATTTCCGTTTCCTGACATCATCCTGTATTCTCCCCAATTTCCCTTATGCACCACTCCAACGACGCCGAATCAGGGGTTTCGACCTTCTTGCGGAATACCTTTTTCCTTCATCGTCAGATAGCGTCATGGGTACGGCTGAGAGCTCCAACGACACTGAGGCTTTCAGTTCAAATAATCAAGATGTATCGACCTCTCTTCCGGCCTCTTTCTTGCTTTTCCTGGGCGATTTCATCTACGCCGATGTTCCATTGTATTTTGGAAACACTAAAGAAAGCTACCGCAGATTGTATAGAAGAAACTACCAGAGCTCTAGCTTCAGGAAAATTTATGAGAAGCTTCGTACGTTCATTCGACTGCTCGAAAGGTATTTAACGTCCTCAATATCGTTACAGCCATGTTCCATACCTATGACGATCATGAAATCATCAATAACTTCTCTGGCGCCGGTAACGACTCCACACAGCCGTACCCCAGCGCTTCCGATGCTTTCCAAATCTATAATGCTAACGGGAATCCCTCACCACCTCCATCAACCAAATCGCTCAATCATGTTCCATACTATTATGATTTTCGGTATGGGGATGTAGCATTCTTTGTGATGGACACCAGAAGATATCGTTCATTCCCAACCGAATCCTCCGAAGAAAAGACAATGCTAGGTGAACATCAACTGACCAGATTGCTTGACTGGCTAGGCAAGGTCTGTGTTTTATGACTTCCTCGCACCTCAATGCCTCACTCTATTACAGGCAAACAGCACTGCAACATTCAAATTTATTGTGTCTTCCGTTCCATTCACGTCGCTTTGGGGTCATGACGCGCAATACGACTCGTGGGCGGGATTCGTGAACGAGAAGCAGACCCTCTTAAATGCCATGCACAGCGTTCCTAATGTGTTTGTTATAACTGGTGACCGACATGAATTCGCCACCATTGAATTTGCTTCCCCAGCCGAATCCGGCTTTACGGTCACTGAGTTTTCCACAAGGTCTGTCTCTTTGTCAAGATGTAATTCGGAATGCTTATAGACGGTGTTGATTCCAGCCCATTGAGCATGTTTTACATTCCGATTTACCATACACTCAGGATGCAAAGTATCGAAGCCTTCACACGAACACAAACCCAGCCAATCGTGGAAGAAGCTCCTTCTGTAGTCGCTGACGTCCCCACTCCTGATGCAACGCCTGTCCCTAGTCCTGAAGAAGAAGCCGTCCCTCAGTCGGACGAACTAGCTTCACATTCAGAGCTGGTTGACCAGCCAGAGATAGAAACTGTTACCGAAGAGATACCTAGAGAGCGGGTAATCAAGTACATACCTGAAGGAAATTACAAATGGTCATCGATAGAGATCGATACTCGGAATCCACAACTTCCAACACTCAAATTGGAAGCAGTGATTGACGGAAAGCCTAGTTATCAGTAAGTGTAAATCTTTTCAAGAAAAGTAACTTGTTCATTCAGTCAACACTTCTAGGTACCAGGTCGTTGGGACCCCGGTCAAATTACAAGGGTCAACTGCACTTGGGACATTCGTCTCTACCAATGTCAAGGACATACTAAAGAAAATTGGTTTACAACCTGCCAAATGGTTTTAATAATTTACACTGTTAATAGATGCCACAACTTGTAAGTATCTTGTATTGCTTGAAGAAAAGCGCAGAGAAAAGGAGAGCAAAATAGCATGCTGATCTTCGAAAAAATAAGAAAAGCATCAATAGCCCACCGCGAGGGTCGAACTCGCAGCCTTCAGATTATTTGCACCGCCTGACAGCTTGTAAAAGTCTGACGCTCTATCCGATTGAGCTAGGCGGGCTTGCAATATAGTGCCATATTGGTGTATTGTATATGTAATGAATAGCCGCACCTTCAAATTCTTCTGCAGAAATCAACAGTTTCATTCGATTTCTCAAGTGTCCACTATCATATCATTCGTTGCAACCAACAGGATATTTGCGATTGGTCGCCGTAAAGCTTTCACTGAATCTCTTGGAGTCAGAGCTTGTCGTTGGAAGAGCTAATAGCCAGAAAGGGAGGATCACCGCAGTTCGATATCTCTCAAGACTGCTGCGGGATCACTGAAGAAGGCTATATGTAATGGCTCTACCTCAATGGAACCTCGTTCCCATCGAACCTTGTTTACAATTACTTATAATACACCTCAGAGTTACATCCCTCGTTATCCAAAATGGACTTTCACTCGTTAGAAAATGAGTTTTCTCAACTCGAAATCGATAACAAGTCCAAGTCCAAATCCAAATCCAACTCGACCAAAATCGAATACATCCTCTGTAACACCCTAGAATCCTTCTACTCCGCAATCAATGTCCTTCAAACATTCTCTCTCCTCGTAATCGATTGTGAAGGTCTCAATCTAGGCACACATCGTGGTTCTCTTTCTCTCCTCACTATACGTCCTATCTCCCCACAAAATTCTCAGAATTTCATTTTCGATTTTGTTGCTCTCACTTTCTCCCTCCAACCCCTCTTTTCCATTCTCACCGACCCCTCGATCCTCAAAATCTTCTACGACGGCCGAATGGACTTTTCCGCTCTCTACCACACCTACCACATCGATCTCGACCCCGTGCTCGATCTCCAACTGGTTGATATATGCTCTCGTTTTGCCCGTGGTAATTACAGCGTAGCGAGTCACAGACAAAGACTCTTGCGGTGTTTCTCATATAACCAAATTAGACAGAATAAAGACAGGTTCAAGAATATACATATCCTTCAAAGTTTGGGAGGGTGTTTGGAGGAACATGGGTGTAATAGTACTTCACCAAAGAAACACGGTATGTAGAACCATTATTCAACTCTTATCAATGCTTATCACAACTCACAGTTGATCACGAAACATGGCTAACCCGACCGTTATCCTCCGAATACCTTGAATACGCAGCACACGACGTTGAAATCATCCACGCTCTCTACACACATTTTATTCAAGCTGGTTACCTCCAACACCCACTCCTCTCCCTAAATCTTTCCCAATCCAAACGATACATCTCCATATGGAACGATGCTCCTCCAGAACAAGGCAACATCTATCGCTCTCATCCTCTTCTCCCTTTGGAGATAATTGATTTTATCCCATCTAATACTACTATCACCTGCCAAGGATGTTCTCGTAACTTATCCTCTTCGTCTTTCCCTCCACAAATCCAAACTCAGCCTCAACCTCGAGCTCGAAACCAAACTCGATTTATCAACCAACCCTCGACCTTGACTCCGAGCACAAGACCATCGAAGTGTTTTGTCTGTCTCGCTGTTCCTCAATGGCTTCAAACCTCTCAATCAAGGAAAGAACAGAGGGAGAGGGAGAAGGCAAGGAGGGAAGAGGCGAGGAAGGAAAAGGAAAAGGAAAAAGAAAAAAAGAAAGAAGACGAGAAAAGGAAGCAAAAGGAGGAGGCGAGGAAGGAGGTATTGAAAGTGTTGAGGAGGAAAGAAGAGGATAAGGATATGGATAAGGATAGGGATGAAGATGAGAGCTTAGAGAGAGAGACGGTGATTGGTGCATTAATCGGTAAGGTGCCAATAAGGGAGATGGTTGGCTCATCAGGTATACCAGTCACATCAACTATACCAGCTATATCGGCTACCTCAACTACATCAACCACACAAACCCCATCAGCCGTAGTAAATATCCCATCACCTTCATCATCTTTGCCTTTGCCTCGAGGAGGTGGAAGTGGAGGTAGAGGTAGAGGTGGAGGTGGAGGTGGTAGAGGTGGTAGAGGTGGAAGTAGAGATGGAGGTAGAGGTGAAGGAGTTGGACGGAGAGGATCTAGGGGGAGAGGGAGGGGGACATGGAAAGGAAAAGGAAAAGGGACAGGAAACTAAATATGTTTCGTGGTCCTTGTTCTTGTCGCTGTCTTTGTGATCCACATCCTTATTTCTGTCTTCTCTTTCCCTTTCCCTCTCTCTCTCTCTCTCTTCCTTTCCCTTCTTTCTGTTTCTGGTGATTTTGTGATTTCACACCGGTTTTGTGGTCTGCTTTAGTACATGTACATACAAACTTGTATCCCTCGGCTGTCCCTTCCTATCCTATTTTGCATTTTCTCTGCACCTCTTTTTTTTCTATTTCCTCTATTTGACCTTAAATTTTTCGACTCTTTACTCTCTGCTCTCTCTCTTGATAAACTATCTGTAATGATTCAAGCTGCAATATATCTAGGCTATCAACAATTGATACAGGGAGGTAAATTGGGTATACTAGCACTGGATAGATCCAAAGGCAAATGGATATAGTAGTCCTAAGGCATCCACTCAATCCACATAATACGTCAATCATTATTTTTCTCCACACACAGGAGACCTTGCAATTCTGAATACATAAAAATGACTCAGGAAGTATCTGTCTAAGATCTATTTCCTCGCTTTCTTTCCCTTCTCAATGTGTGCCCGAAGTTTCTGCTGCTTCTCCCTCAAACTTGCCTTCTTCTTTCCTCGCACAGATCCACTACTCAAAATCATCATGATTGGCTTATTCCTGGCCTTTTCCTTATTCGTAGAGCTGCTGGGAGCGTCCTTGGTCTTCTTGCCTTTGCGGGACCCAAACTTCTCGCGACCTTCCCTTCCTTTTTGGATCGAAGCCATGCGCTCAGCATAGTCAGCTTTAGCTTTCTTACGAGGCCCAAGAATATCGTTCTCCGATATGAAGGAAGCTGACAGGTCGTCTGCAGGGTGTTGAGTCTTACGTTCGGCCTCGAGCGCCGCAAGTTTTCGTTTGGCGCGATTGCCACCCCCTGCTTCAATAGACTTCTGCGCGGCTTGAATGCGCAGATCAGAAAGCAGTTTGAAATCGGCTGGTGTGAGTATCTGAAAAAGTCCACTATTGATAAATCGAATTTTACGATTGGCAGGCGGACAGACCTTGGTTATAGCAAGAGTTGATATATCTTGCCCGAACTTTCTTTCCTGCTCCTCCTTCTCTTCTTCATCCACGCTCATCTTTTCTTCGTCATTCTCACTGACTTCGTATTCGTGCTCGTCCACTTCGCTGTTGTCTGCCTCTTCAATAAGCTCTTGCCCGTTCTTGAGGGCTTCCTCCTTTGCTCTTTGTTTCTCCTTCTTTTCCTTCTTGTCTCTCCGCCTCTCTTGCCGTTCCGTTTCTTTCCTCTTCCGTTTATCTTTGTCCTTGTTCTCACCGTTCTCGACTTCGACTTCGCTATCGCTGAGCTCGATATCGCCATCGCTGTCGCTCGAAACATCTTGCCACCCATCCTCAGAGTTAGAGTCTGAGTCGGAATCGGATTCTGCATCCCAACCTTCCCAACCGGCTTCGTCGTCATCCTCTCCTGATTCGGCACTAGCCTCTTCTTCCTCCTCACGAAGCTGTTTAAAGTGACTCTCCAGAAGCTACAAGAAGCAAAGGGGTTGAGGGAGCATGAGACAGGTTGATAAACATATGAACATACCGAAAGGCCCTCAATGTCAGCAGCAGCACTGGCTGAATGACCAAATGACAGATTTCGAGCAACTGCATTTTTCATGTTGAGACTAGCTTCCTTGCCCTATGTGAAGAGAGATATGAGGATGTATATCACTTAAAGCGTGGATGAGACAAACCCGTTCTCTCTTTTTCAAGAACTCAGGGTGAGTCTCTCGATAAAGATGCAACAGCCCTCGAGAAGCCGCGATAACGGTCTTATCCTTGCTCTTCCTATAGTCGATCAAATCGTTCAACAGAGGCCTTAAATCGACATCCTTGTCACCAAGTCTCTTTCCGTCAACTTCGACCTCTCCCAGCCCATTGATTTCCGCCTTGCCTTTCTCCGGATGGACGGCCTTCATGGCGTCGAGAGCATGATTTTGGGCCCCATCGTCTGTCTCTGCATTTTTTTGATTCCGTTCTTTCTGCCTTTTCATCGGATCATCGTCGTCGTTATCTCTAGGTCCCATAACCAAAGGCTGACGCCTACAAATCTCGGTAACCGCATTTATTCCAGCAGCTACAACTTCGCTCCCGACTCCTGGATGCACAAATTCATTTGCAAGCTTGAGGACAACTGGTTTCAACGTCTGGGGTGGTATGAGCGCATGCACCGATTGGGCTAGCGCAACTAGTATGGACGGGACCCTCAGTTGTTTTGGGGCAAGCCACTTTTGAACGTAGGAGTAGAAGGGCATGACGAAGAGCGTATGCGCAGATATAACACGAGCAAGGAGTTGCATGATTAATATCTTGTGGTCAAGCGTAAATCGCTTGTCGTAACGGTCCAGAATAGTAAAAAGCTTTTCGGCGAACGTCTGAGGATCGTTCAGCAGCTGTAAGGCTGGAAAATTTGTGTTGGAACGGGATATCTCAGATTTTCCATGCTTTTTCTTTTTTGCGGCATTGAGCTTCTTCTGTAGCTTTTTGTCGCCGCTCCGAGACTTTTTGTTGATCTCACGACGGTGGTGAAGTGCACGCACGTCTGTTTCCTAATAGAAAGTATATGTAAGAAGTGATATAGGTGGGAGTTTTACATACCTCTTCGTCCTCTTGGTCGCTATCTTCCTTCTCATCGTCGTCTCCGAGAAAAAAATGTATTGATGCACTTTGAACTTTGAGCACTGGATGCAAACACCCAATAGCAACAATCGAGACTGGTTTTACATCGTCCCTGTCACCGTTACAAATGAACCAATTGATCTGCTCATCGAGGATATAGACTGCTCACCAAATACCCTTACGCCAAAGTTCTTTGGTCAGAATCACAGCCCACATCGCATCTTCTCCCCTTCCCGCCGTTTTATCTGACGATCCAAAATGTGTTCCAGTGCCGACTTCTTTCTGCTTTCCCTTGTTACCGAAGTTCGAAACATCTTCTA